GTGACAATTTCCCAGCGAACAAAGAATCTGGTTTCCACTGGAGTTTAGGTCGTGAGAATCATCCTTGTATATCGATCGTGTAACGTTGTCTCAATATCTTAGCTTTACGTGAGCTTGTTGATATACATGAATATCAAGATGAGTCTCTTCTATAGACCTATTGGTTGGGTGTATCAATAGTGTGGGTACGCCTTCTCATGTGCTAGTAAGCAAGATGCTACGATATCATCACCATCCTCAGTTCCGTTGTCACGATTGTTTCAGCTATAGCATTCTAGCAACTGTTCATTGTAAAAACTGATTTTGATGGGCTGCATTTGTCGGTATGAGCTAAAACCAATCGGCTTGCCTGTGTTTGCACTACTGCATGCGATGGGCTCTCCCTTGGCTCCTGATATCCCCCTAGCTCCGTATAGGTTGGATAAAGTCGATACCTACACGACATTCGAGACCATCGGGTAACAACAACGCAAGTTGTACCTCAACAAAAGGTATGTGGGCAAACATGATTCCTTGCACGCCAGCGAGATCATCTGTAGACGCAGTTTTCTCGAACCTGACTCGAGTTATCCGCGCCTGTAGCAACTCAGTTGATGCTACCACTGCACTTGATCAGCCTCAATGCATCCCCAACCCGTGAAGCTTGTGCAATTGTCCATCCCACTATCCATCATCCACAACACAGCTGTTGGCCTCTTATCTCGATCTGAATAGATCGGCAAATAATAGACAGATGCGCCGCTGAGGCCTTCGGGGGCTGAGAGAGACCGCATGGGGATCCTTGAGCTGACGCTCTACCGACCTTCCCGTGTCAAACTTGTATTGCCGTATTTGATGTCATAACGAATAACATCGTGCGCCTTAGGGGGGAAGGGTCTGGCCATCCAGTCGTGATTGCCGAGTACATAGGCATAAGGTATCTTAGCATTCATTGAGTTTAGGCAAGATATGCTTTTCTCACCCCAGCAGCTCGCATAGGCATAGTGAACTTTTCCCACTGCTCGACGAACCAATCGGTGCAGTTTAATAGAGATGCGCATAGGCCCGGGGCACCGTAGTTGGAGGACATGTCACCGTTGAGCACGACCTGAGGACAGCAGGAGGTGACCTAGTGACCTCTGCAGAACTTATAGTCAGAAAGACGTAGACAGACGCGAATCACAGAGCCGTACAAAAGGTACGTATCGATAGGATCGAGCTAATGAGTTGTAACAAGGAAGCGGGAGAGACGATGGTAAGTGTGAGCACATTGTCTATTTACCAGATCTGGCTTCAACAATGTCAGCATTCGTTCTTGGAATACCTATTATGAAAGTGAACACATGAAAGTCTGCCAGCTTGCAAATGACAGATGCTTTGAGTGGAATGTGTTTAGCCTTGATCAACACTCCCTGAAAAATAGCCCCTACCTTGCTTTTCTCATCATGGAGATCTCCCTGTGTATCAACGGACCCCTCTCCGTAGTGTATGTCACTGAACTGCAAAACTCTGAACTTTCCTTCCTCACTGAAACGAAGCTTGATTCCTTCTGGTGCTGGAGTGGTCCTCCCTCCTGGTGCCTGAGTCGTTCCCCCTCGGGTGTTACTGCTACATCCGTGAAAGGAAAAAGACGAGATTGTCAACAGGAGGATGGATATAATCATTTTGTAGCGCCAGAACCCGAAAAATCTCTAATGTGTCAGCAGCAGTCCACCACTGGCAACAACTTGTAATGCTTGTTGCCAACAAGCATTGCATTAACTACTTCAAGCAGCAACGTGGATCACCTGGATCGTAGTGCGCCTTCAACGTGAGATCAAAGGAGAATCCTGCGTTGCAGATAACGCTCGCCCGTGCAAGCGATTATCATTTTAAGAAACGATGATACCCCCTATCAACACTTGGCTTTTCCGGATGCTTACTATTGGTTGCTTCATGGTATTCCTGTTTCAAGTAAAGGTTCAATGCGTGTCCTATCTATGAGACGTTGGTAATGTATGATTCACACCTCTGCGGTGGTCCAGCCTCATCTGCGCACTCTGCTTGCATGGTGGCTGACGTCTTTTGTGGCACCTTCACGCCTTGCAGCTTGACCTCCGCGCCGTCGATCCATGTCTAGCTCCGAGACTCGCTCAGACTCTGCCTCCCCCGCCAAGGAGAAGTCCCTGTTGGCTCAAGTGGAGTCTTACATAAAGAGACTTATGAAGGGGTAAGTTCACTATCAGTCTGTCGTTCAACCCAATGTGATAAGCGTTCGCTCGCTCCAGTATATCAGCTCAAGACGTATACTATGGTTTGCTACTCAAGATTTGTTGTCGCCTATGTCCCCACTGAAGTTTCTCTTTTCAGGATTCCGGTAATTCTCCGTGTCGAACATGATGATGGCGATTCCGACGACGAGCCCGTCACCAAGTCAGCTATCTGTATGACATGCTATCGAGCAATAATGTGTCGATGACGGGCTTTGGTCAGGCACTGGGATCCTCAACCGCAACCTCGACTCGGTCAAATTCACCCCCTTGAAAGAAGAGGCAACAACGGATGACAGCAAAGAACCTGGTAAGTTCCAACTGCTGCCCAGCGTTCGATGGCATAACCATGTTAGGTATTGTGATTGAACTCCAGGATGTTGAGAAGGTCATCTGTCTCAATGAGAATCATCCCTCTGTCGTCCTCGTATTATTTCGTCAGCACCTTATGTTTTACATTTCGTGTTACCTACAGGTCATCCCTAAGTATGATCGTTACGTCGAGATCGTCAGCAGCGGTGTGGAAGACTTTAAAGCATGGTCGGCACTGTTTGCTTGAGCGACTCTATCGCGGCAGCTAGGTACGCTACACTGCGTATGCTCTGTCCGGAGGAGGGTGAAGACGACTCGTCTATCACGGACGACAGTGGAGATGCTTCTTCTGATAGTTATGAGGCCTCTTCTCCAGAACTGTCTGCTAAGGCTCGCAGGGCTATGATGAAGGTCACTGAATCTATGTGGGATCACTGTGAAGTATTCTGCTTCAGTCCTTGAGCCCGGCCTCCGAGGATTCGTCCTCTCGAGATGTGGAAGAGCGCCAGATTGCGCAGGTGACCATCGTTGTTATCAGATGTCAACAGGCATGTGTCGTGCCCCTAAGGTTAATGCTCTTAAGCAGATCATCACTAGTCAAGGAAGACTTATCGATGCCCTCCGCCGGGATAGGTGAGCTCTCCTATGATTATAGCCCCATGATTTATCTTTTTTAGGGATCGCATGCAGGTTTTGGAGGTGCAAAACCGTGACCTTGTCCGCGTCTTGAAAGGTAAAATTCGCCGTATGTTTTAATCGAGTGTTTCCTCCGTTGCAGAGCGCGAGGTCAGCTTGGACGAGCTGATGGGCGTCTGTCAGCGTTTGATGGATCAGCAAGGCAAATGGGTGAACATCCACCTCGAGCGGAATGCGGTCGTGCTGAATCCTCCTAAGCCTTCATCCAGCGGTAAGGCCCCTCTGGCTCTGCCCGCAGTACCTCACGCCCCCGGCTCAGAGAAGGGTGAATCTAAGGTTGGTCATATCCGTCCATACTTGTTATCTATGATTGTCGCAGCGTCCCGTCTTCGCACCGAAGCCACGCGAGGTGTCAGTTGGGCAGGATAGCGGAACTGATGACGACTCGTCTGGAGTTGATGTCGCTGATCTCGAGTAGGTTGCCCTACTAGGGGTCATGTCTCTTATTTTGCTCTTTCTTTGCAGTAACAGTGAGTTGGATGTTCTTATGTCGTATTTGGACGATAAGCTAATGATGCTGAAGAAGATAGGGAGGGAGATTGGTATTTCACATTGCCGCCCAATCAGTTATGTCCCTGCTGTATTTGTCAGGCTCTTTCTCTCCGAAGGACGATAAGGACGGTGACGACTCTGACGAGGAAGATGCAAGGGTAGACGCTACGCTCGAGAATGTGGTTGCTGAAGAAGCCGAGATCACTAAGCTCCAGGACGAGTTGAGCTCGCTTCAGAAGCAGAAAATCGCAGTGAGGCACTTGGCCAAAAATGCGGGATAACTTTTCCTGTTTTCGTTAGCTCCAGCGCGTGTTGGATCGCACAGCTATGAGAAATATGGTGAGAGGTCACGAATAGTCGTCGCAGCTGTAGATACGTAGCACCATAAGTGAATGTATGTAGTAACTACCGCTACAGATTATTCTTTGCGTAGAAAGTAGGGCATGATTTAATCATTATCGGCTCTGTCATCACATGTCTCCGGTTATTCGTTTGTTATTGGGTTTCAAGTCAATTTAATCAGTTCGATTAGAAGAGGGTAGTGAACCACTGAGCCATCGAAAGACGTCATTCTAGGGTTAGAATTGTAGGAGAGTAGTTTATGGAATTTGATCTCGGATCGAGTGAACTCGACATTCCTCTTGGTCGATGAAAGTTGGACCAGTTATATAGAGTCCGATGGTAGTGTCAATACCATTATCTAATTATATTCACAAGCATGTTGCTTATCTAGTCTTCATGATCGAAAGATATCGTGTTATGCTTACGTGTAGGAGATTGACACCAACTTTGTAAACCTTGTGAAGATGGTGGGGCAAAAACTTGGTGGTCGAAATTTTAGGTATATCTGGCCCTATCATCGGCAAACACACATTTCCTCGCCTCAAGACGTATCCGATGGATATAGTGAATACGTCCACGCACGGCGAAGGCCATGTTCTCCAATGGCCTGCATGGTAAAGGC